ACAACAACAACCTGAAAATAGAGAATTATATTTGTGGGGTCATCCTTCTATTCTGCACATAAGCTCTGCCTATGTCACCAGAACTGAGTTGAATAGTAATCATCCTTTCAGTGAATGCTTTCTGGGTTCCTGACATCTGAGTTAAGTACTTTCTATACGTGGTTTCCTTGTCAAAATAGCCTCACTAGTTAGATACTGTCAGTATCTAACTCTTCTCCATTTAAACAGAACTAGAAACCATGGTACAAGGAAATCAGGTAAACCACTCAAGCCGCATCAGTGTTAAATGGCAGAATAGGATTCCAGCTCAAATCTAGACATCTCCTGAGCTCATGTTCTCTAGACAGTCTGTCTTCGGTGGTTACCACCTTTAGCCCATTCTGTTTCAAAACAGAGCACTGGTCTCTGCGGTCATTAGAAAATCAGTATGTGATGACTAGGACAGTTTTTTCTTTCCTTCTGTATTTGTAAACAAAAACCTAAGCATTTTCAAAAGGGGAATTCGTATATGTGGCATTCTAGTGAAAAATACTGTAAAATAAAAAATGAAGTTAATGTTTCAGATTGTACAGTTTCCTAATTATGCTTTTAATTATTCATGTAAAACAAGTAAAATGACCCCTGACAGGGACATAAATGATTTAGATAAAATCAAATATTTATAAGGTGCTGCTGAGTCCCTGGGTATATTGTAACAGATGCACTCAAAATGCTATGCCTTCATCTTTCTGATGCAAAATGTTATGTATGGAATTTATAACAGGCTGAGCGTAATCAACCATGTTTAAGACACTACAGAGCTAATTCCTACATGTTTTGACATTGTAACTTAAAGTGTGTAATTGTAATGTTGTAACTTCTAAAATGTTGTTGTTAAGTAATGTGGAGTTGGTTCCAACTCTGTGTGTCCCTGCACAGGGCTTCCGAGGCTGTAAATCTTTACAGGAGTAGAAAGCCTCGTCACCACTACACTATCAGAGTAGACAGCACTGCTCTTTTTGTTTGTTTGGGTTTTTTACATATTCTCATGGTTGAAGGGGAAAAAAAAAAGAAACTGAAAAGAGAATAATGTTTCACAATACATGGACATTTCACAACACATGGACAAGGAAATTCAGATTTCAGTGTCTATCAATAAAGTTTTATTAGAACACAGTCTCTCCCACTTGTTACATATGATCTATAGCTAGCTGTGTCTGTGCTAAAAAGGCCAGGTTGAGTAGTTGCAGTTGAGGCCATATGATACACAAACCCAAAAACATTTACTCTGTAGTCTTTTGCTGAGTGTATGCCAGCCCTTACTGTAAAATATAACCCGCCCACAGTGAAAGTGGAGCAATGCTGAAGCATGTTTAATTGGCATAAGAAACAACTTACTTTTTTATCAGTTTATCCCTTAACTCACTGTGCTACTAATTGAAAAATTCACTGTATATTTTTCAGAAGTTGGGAAGAAACATGCCTTTAGAACATAATAAAAAGGGATTTATCAGAACAAGGATCCTTCACTTGTGTTTAATGTTTCCTTTTTAAAGAGAAGTTGCGAAATGAATTACACTGTTTTAAATTGGATGCATTGTCTCTATCTTTTATGGAGACTGAGCGGCCATCTAAGGGCCCAACTATCGGATAAAGGAGAGTGACGATGCTCAAGGATTCAAGGGCACTATTTGTCCAAAGTACTAAGGGGCTGTGTGTATTAAGTACAGCCTCCAGTATGCTGAGACCAAGGAGCTCTCATAGCATAGTGCTTATGAGTCGGGCTGCTGACCTCTCCAGGTCAGCAGTTTGAAACTACCAGCCATTCCATGGGAGAGAGATGAGGCTTTCTACTGCCATAAAGATTTACAGCCTCGGAAACCCTGTACAGGGTCACTATGAGTTGAAACCGACTCGGCAGCACATAACCACCACCACCCGGAAACCAGAAGGACTAGATGATGTCCTACTTTCTACTGTCAACCTTGCAGATTGGGATCCTAGTAGAGAGAAATAAAAAATGTTGAACAAAATTCAAACCCATCAAAATGGCCAGACTTGCTATTCCTAGAGAGTCTGGTGAAACCCTGAAAGTTTCAGTCTTCTCAAGCCTGGAGATACACCCACTCTGGGAGGTCAACTTTCAGCCAAACAATTTTTATTTTAATTAAGTGCCATCGAGTCAATTCTGCCTCATAGCGACTCTGTATAGAGTTTCCTAAGAGCAGCTGTTGAGTTTGTACTGCTGACCTTGTGGTTTGCAGTCCAGTAACGATCCTACAGCGCCACACCAGGGCTCCAGCCCTGTAAAGTGAGTAATAACACTAGAGGGAATGTATCCCTTGGTGTAATCAACCATATGAGACTACGAGGTGGCATTCGTTTGAAAACAAATTTTAGAAGAAAGGGAGGAAAAACGGCAATAGTGAACCCAAGAAAGCAGCAGGAACAATCTGTCACATTGAGGTGATTACAACCAATATCAAATTTGTTTAAATTATTGAATGGAACACTAATTTCCTGTATAAATTTTAACCGAAACTACGGAAAAGGACTTAAAATAATCACTCAAGAAGATCAGAGACACAGCCTTCGGTATGGATTGCATCTCAATGTCAAGAAAACAAAAATCCTCACCACTGGTCCAATAAACAACATTCTTATCAACGGATAAAAGATTGAAGTTGTCAAGGACTTTATTCTTCTTAGATCAACTATCAACATTCATGGAAGCAGCAGTCAAGAGATCAAACAACGTATTGCATTAGGCAAACCTGCTGCACAAGACCTTTTTAAAGTGTTGAAGAGCAAAGATGTCAGCTTGAGCACTAAGGTGCGCCTGACCCAAGCCATGGTATTTTCACTAACTTCCTATGCATGCGAAAGCTGAATTGATGCTTTTGAGTTATGCTTTTGAGTTATGCTGAAAGTACCATGGAAAAAGTGCAGCCAGAGTGCTCCTTGGAGGCCAGGATGGCCAAACTTCATCTCTCATACTTCGGATTTATTGTCAGTAGTGACCAGTCACTGGAGAAGGATATAATGTTTGTTAAGGTGGAGGGTCAGAGAAAAAAGAAGACCCCCAACGAGATGGATAGGCCAAGTGGCAACATCAATGGGCTTGAGTGTGGCAACAATTGTGAGGTTGGCCCAGGACCTGGCAGTGTTTCATTCTGTTTTGCATAGGGTCGCTATGAGTTGGCATGGATTCGATGACACCTAACAACAACAGTAAAAAATTTGACAAAGACAAAGGAAGGAGAGGGAAAAACCATAGAAGCTAGCTAGGTATAGCTCTTACTGAGGTCCCTTTAGGAAGAAGATGAGGAATGAGAATTCCTCATTGAGGAATGAGGCTCTAAGAGCACTTTCCAGTAACTAAAGTTACACTAGCATGGCTTTTGATCACAAATTACTTAGTATACTGTTTGCATCTCATAAATAACTTAGCAATCAAATGTGTTTGCTGGATGAATGAACAAGCTAAGGCTCTTCAGAGAACGTAAGTGTGACCATGTGACACGTAAAAAAAATAAAATTGGTTTTTATTGCATTATAAGTCTACTTTAGGAAAAATCCGTTTTCTTTGATCATAGGTTACTTGTTGTCAGTTTCTCCCTGCTGTGTTCCAGAGGAGACGGGTGTGCTTTTGAAACTTAGGCTTTGATTTAGTTCAGGTTCCCTATGCTGTGTATGTTCTGTGTGTTGTATGGTTGGGCCAAGAGGGATTTTCCTATGCTTGGAATTCAATGAAGTAAAAGCAAATCTAGTTATCTGACCTAATTGGAGTGATTTAATGAGATGGTTCTACAGTATACTGTCCTTGTATTATTGTCATATCCAATAAGTGGCAACCCAGTCCCAGATATGTTACTACTGTTTGTTGCCTAAATATTGGGGAATCCCTGAAATTTTATTTCCTGGTACATTGCATAAGTTTTTCTGATTGAACAGCCGTGGCTGTCACGCCTAGCTTTTCATGTAATTTTCTCATCCTGTTCCACACCTGGAATGTTGACATAACCTTAGGAATCAGTGCTTCAAAACAAATCAGAATGAAAAAACTTTCTGTAGATAATTTTGGTCATCAGACTGAGGACACTCTGATTCAGAGTGACTTATTTAGTCATTGTCTCCTTTTTTGCATCTGTCAAGTGGATAAGACATTCTCTGGAATTTCATTTCGATTTGGAGCCAAGTAATGACTCCAAGAGATTTCCCATAATGCATAGCGTTATCATGAATCACAATCTTCCCCATGGCAGCACCAGACAACAATAGTGACTTCAGGTGACTCCGTGGTAGAATCATTGTTGAAGACACTACGGAGTGTGTCTTTGTCTTCCATGTGGAGTCTTAAGTTCAATTCCCAGCCAGTACACCTCATGAGTTGCCACTACCTGTCTGTCAGTGGTGGCATACATGTCGCTATGATGCTGATCAGATTTCAGACTAACAAGGAAGAATGGCTTGACAATCGACTTCCACAAACCAACCAATGAAAAGTCTATGAATCTGTAACTGTCGATCAGATATGCAACCAATCATGGGTATGGTTACTGGGCAGTGCTTTATAGTATTATCATGACATGAGTCAGGGACCCACCCTATCACAGCTAATAACAATGACCCCACCAGTCTGCAGGTAGAATGTGCTCATTTATTCACACTGATTTTATATATATATATTTTAAATAACTACAAAAGGAAAGTAATTCACATATGTTGATCATGAACTTAAGGAGCTCTGGTAGCGTAGTGGTTACGAATTGGGCTGTGAACCGCAAGGTCAGCAGTTCGAAACTACCAGCGGTTCCGCGGGAGAAAGATGAGGCTTTCTGCTCCCGTAAAGATTTACAGACTTGGAAACCCTGTAGGGTTGCTATGAGTCGGAACCAACTTCACGGCAATTAACAAAAACAACAACAATCATGAACTTGATTAGATGCAGAACAAGTATTCCTTAGGGTCTGGTTTTGAAACTCATTTTGTTTTCTTCCCTTCTCTTCCATTTGACACAGTGGCCATTCTTCTGAAAGATGACTATTTTGTCAGTGGTGCCGGGCTGCCTGGAAGATTCAAAGCTGAGAAGGTGGAGTTTCACTGGGGCCACAGCAATGGCTCTGCAGGCTCTGAACACAGCATCAATGGCAGGAGGTTTCCTGTGGAGGTGAGAGAAACTTGAAATCTCAAATTCCTTTGGGTTTTTACATTAATGAAATTGCGTCTTTACCCCCAGTCATTTTTCAAATCAAACTTATGTAGTACCTCTTACCTTGGTCTCTCTGAAAACCCTTGATCTGCAACGTGGCAGGTGGCTCTCTACCTTCAAGTGCCTTATCTTTGTTTAACTAGAGAAATTCATAGAAGTCACAGACATCCTGGGTTGACCAGATTCACCCCAGGTCAATGATTTTCCATCGTTTGATTCTTTGACACAGTTTCTGTTTTCTATCCATTTCTGAAACCCTGATTTGTAAAGGTGACATTTTATAAGAAACTTAGGTGACTTCATTTTCACCCTTTAGAAAAATGAAAGTTAGCCAACGTCTGAAGAGGAATCTCAAAGCCTTCTCCCAGTAGGGAAGTTGTTATGAGGTTGTCTTTGCTTCTGCCAGCTGCTTAGAAAGTGGCTGTGGCCCCAGGTGGTAAGAATCCTGTTTGCTTTGCTGGGATCAATGATGACATTTTGCTTCCTCTGTGTATTCTCACAGCTCCATGCTGCTAGGAATAAGAAAATTTTGGGTGCAGTTGGGTTATGCGCTGATCTATATCTCTTAGAGCATGGGTGAAACAGCAAGTTTTAAAACTTCTTTATTAATGTTGAATTCAGACAACACATCCCTTCCATGGCTACCCTTACATTCTTGCTAATCATGATCAGTGTTCATGTTCTTTTATTGTTACAAATGCTGGGATCCCTGTGTTTTAAGCCTTTAGTGGTATAGGTGCCAGTCAGGAGCTCAATTGAACTGTAGTATTTGTATATTTATCTCATTGGATATATGTTTTAATCTAAGGATTCAAATGGCCAAGGAAATTTTCCATTCTTTGTGTTTCATTCTTTCTGTGAAGTCATGATTGGCTTTAAGAATCTGATGAATGTGAAGGATGCCCTTCACAGAGAGAAGATGCATGTGTATATCTGCATATAGTGTTTACAGTTTCATAACTCCACCTTTTTCTATGCCTATTCATGGACCCTTTAGGCATCTCTGAAACTTAAGGTGAACAACACCTATAATAAGAGAAAATCAGCATTTCTTTCTTTGTTGTTGAGTCAAAGTCATAGATCTCTTAGGCATGAATCTCACAGGGGCACTATTTGGAATAATGCTTTCCTCCCGTAGAGAAGAGGCAGACAATATTGTATGTGTGTTCTGGTTCCTCCATAGCAAGTCAGTCTCTTTGGACAGCCATTGCAGGTCTGGTGTTCTGCGCTCATTCCTCCTCCATGTTTCAGACAAAGGACCCCTTTCCTTCCCTGCTGGCACAAGATACAGTAATGTGGTTAGCTCTGTGCCATAGGATGTGCACAGTTACAGAATAAGCAGTACAGGGAAGATTCACCATGTCTCCGGAACAGGGGAGGAGATTTCCTAATGAGGAAGAAGGCAAAGAAACAAGACCAGTAGGACACTCATTATAAGTGAATGTTCCGGACTTAGGGCTTTGACTAGGTGGTCCAGGTGAGGATCTGCAGGCCATGCAAAAGATGACTTTTTCCAACATTTATAGGTGCTTTTATGACACACTGACTCTGTAGGATAATGACAGGACTGCAAACCATAAGGTCCACAGTTTGAGCCCACCAGCTGCTCTCCGGAAGAATGATGAGGCTTTTTGCTCTTTCAAATTTTAAAAAGCCTCAAGGAGTAGCTGGTGAGTTTTAACTGATGGACGACCTTGCAGGTAGCAATCCAGTGTTTATTTTATATAGCCATGCACCAGGACCTCAGAAACCCTATACAGGGTCACTATGAGTTGGAATAAAACATTAATAACCATATGGTGCTGTAGAGTAAGTACTGGAGAGTAAATCGTAAAGTTCAAACCCACCAGCCATTCCTAGGGTTGTACAAACGCCACACCACTTAACAACAACATTATTTACAATGTGTGTCCTATCTACTACTGTCAGGTAAACATCCGTGATGCTACTCTGAGAAAATACTTCCTATTTCTTGTTTAGCTGACAAATTCTCTTTACCTAAGCTTTTCTTCTTTTAAGACTTCTTTCTCTCTAATGTTTTCTGTTCTACTCACACTAATTATATGCCACACGGGTAGGCTTTTTTCTGCTTAATGGACTCTCCTCCTTCCTTTAAATTGAATGAATCATTTCTTAGAAGTCTTAGCTTTATTTTCACTTGGAAAACCAGATTCCTAGAAACAAATTACATCATGTTTTTAAGTGTGGAGTTTCCCTTGTGACCTGCTGAGGATTCACATTGAGCTGTGAATTGAAGGAGTAGATTGTGTCCAGCCAACTTTGCTCTGAAGCCTCTTTGTCTTACAATTGGGTTACCATTTGTTCAGTGTATGTGAGTCCAGCCCAAAGACCTGCTACATTAGAAAAGAAGACCCTGGGGCTGGGAACTAGGAACTTAAACTTCATTCATTATCATGTCACTAACCCAGAATCACCATGAGAAGAAGGGCCTGTCTCCGCTTTCTTCTTCTGGAAACATGTATCCAGTAGATGTGTATTCTGAAAACTTACAACTTAATTTTATTTGCTTACTTATTTGTTTATTTCAACTTTTTATTGTGAATTGCATGAAGGTGAAAAGACAAGATCCTCAGATTTACTCTCACAGAGTATCCGCTTTGCTTCATCTCAATGATTCCAGCCCCCTCCCTACAACAACAGCTATCCCATTATTCCTGGTGGCTCCTAATTTCCATCTTTTATTTCACAAATGAACAAAGCAAAAATATTTGATATACACCTACAAAACAAAAAAAATATGTATTCATTTAAATGTACATTCTGCAAGTCAGCCTCCTGCCTGGAGGTGCACAGCCTTATTCAGTCCATGGGCCGAGTGCCTGCAGCTGTTCTGTCTCTCCATGCTATCAGGGCTTCCCCTGGTAGGAGCTCACATTCCACTCATGCTTTTCCTTCTTGATGGTTTTGGGATCATCTGTTCCCGAAATGAAAGAGTAACCATTCTCTCCTTTTACTTACACATCTTCTAGTCTTACAATTGTGACAATCACAGTTAATCTTGCTAACAATTACTCACAGTTGAATTGTAAAATCCCCCAAGCCCTTTCACCAGATTGATCTGGAAAAGAGGAAAACTGTCCAGTGGGAATTCTACTTTATCTCCCTTATTCTGAAACTAAACACACTCATGAATTCTTGTAAGCCAGCCACTTGGTGCCTTTATAGCCCCCATTTTTGATAAACAATGTTTAAACTGCCTGTCCTTATCAACCCAGTGCACTGAGGAAACAAGCTAGTTCTTTGATATGAGGAATCCTTCCATTCTGGTTGGAATTTTGAGTATTTGCATCCGTAAGCAAAGATCCAGTTCATCATATTTTAGCAATTTACACTTAATTATAGTGTCAGGCTACCACTCATCTGTCAGTTTGTCATACTGTGGTGGCTTGTGAGTTGCTGTGATTCTGAAAGCTATGCCACTGGTATTTTAAATACCAGCAGGGTCACCCATGGTGGACAGGTTTCAGATGAGCTTCCACACAAAGACAGAAGAAGAAGAAAGAGTGACAAA